ATAGAAAATTATTGCGAAAGGACAGAATAGCTAATTTACAAGTAAAGACTAATTTAAATAACAAATTTCTAGATTCATATAATAAAGAAGTTTCTATGTAATTTTGAAATTGCCTCAATACATGATTGGAAACGCAACTCGAGTTCTTTCATTTTCAATAACCTATTCTTAAAAATTAACAAAAAAGTATGTATGGAAATACATCTAAAGTATGTACAAAGTTTAATTTGGGGGTATATAGAGAGCATAATGAATAATATAAAGAGGCATGAGAATGAATCTAAGTAAAATTATAATGAGAAAATCAAAAGGAAAAGAGATTGCATTGCAGGAGAGTCAAAGAAAAAATTATAAACAATCCAATTAACTTGAAGATAAATATATGGTACTCACTATTGAACTTGATAGAAAATAAATTACCCTTTTAACTGCTAAAACGTATAACACAAGTGATATAGTAAACAATATAGGTTGCAGATAGAATTAAAAAAACAAATAAATACATCATTTATTGTTTAAACATGATTTTTGAGCTACTTGAAACAAAACTAATAGAGAAATAAAGAAGATATTGTATAAAGAACAAATAAACATCTTTCTTGATCTTAAAGTGTATTACATCATATTTTCAGATTTTAAAAGTTTGAGATAAATAAAAGAAATTAATAACAAAGGAGAAAGAAAAAAATTAAGCTAGATGAAAATAGAGTTTCATGCATATGAATTTTCTTGGTACAAACTTAAATATTATTTTATTCTTCCATTCTCATTGAGAGATACAACGTTTCAATCATCTTTGGAAATTGAAATGGGAAACACTTGGCAAATTTAATACTATGATTAAGATATTTAAATTATATTTTTTATACGGTATATTCACGATAAGTATTAAAAAGAATGCTAACTCCAAGAAATCGAAAAAACTAATACAAATAAAATTTCCCGTCTAAAAAATTCATCATAAAATATTTAATGGTCTAATAATATTTATTGCAATAAAGATTTAATTTTTTAGTACATACTCCCTTCCTTGTTGTTCGGTATATTATTTTGAAATATCCAATAATATTTGTCCATTTTATGAAATTAATAGATAATTTTATACTTAATTTTTAATTTATCCTTATTATTAGTTATAATAATTTATCTAGTACATTTTTTCCAAGACATTATATTATTATATTTAAAAGATAATATAGTAAAAATTACCCTTTATTTATAGATTCTTAAAAAGTGTGTAAAATTAATTATGAACAAGTATTGTTGGGTAAATGGAAAAAAATATTATAAAAATAGTTTTTAAATAAAGGGTAAAAAAGTAGTCCAACTTTGTGTTTGAAAGTTTGCCACATTCAATAATATTACTAGTTTTTTGACACGTGCTTTGAGTTATGAAAATAATTAATGTTGATTCTATTTAGTTAGGTCAATAAAAAAAATTCTTATCCTGTGAAAAGTCTCAAATATCTTTTTTGTAATTTTTATTTTTGCCTCGATGCCATATTTTAATTTCTAGCATTGGCTCTAATTACTAAATAATTTCATTGTCTTATTAATTTCATAATCACCCTACGTTTGTTTTTTTGTCTAGCATTCATGAATGAATACATCTCTTTTGGCTAAAGAGAAGAAGGAACAACATGATATTGTCCCTTTAATATGCTTGAAATGTGCAAAAGTAATTGTCATTTGCCACGTGTATGATGTAGCTTCTACAAAAAAAGTTGTCCTTAAGGTGTGTTTGGTATGTTTTTTAATTTTTTAAAAGTGTTAGAAAATATTTTTCAAATCAACTTATTTTCCTGAAAATTAAGAAAAATGACTTCCCTTCAAAAGTTAAAGAAAAATATTTTTCAAAAACTCTCATCCAACTTCAAATTACAATTTTTTTTTAAAACATCAATTCCTAAAATATATTTTCAATTTCAAAATTTTATATTTTCATTCCGCCCTCCCCTCGACTCCGATCATTCCTCCAGTCCCCTCCGAAAAAATTAAATTTACTTTCAAGAAAATATTTTCAATTTCAAAATTTTATTTTTTTACCCCGATCCCGGACTCTCCAGGCAACCCCCTGCCCCCCCCCCCCCTAAAAAAAGATTTTGTTTTTAAAAAAAGTATTTTCAACTTCAAAATTTTATTTCTTCATCCCTATCCTCGACCCAACACCCCCCCCCCCTCCAAAAAAAATTAAGTTTGTTTTTAAATAATATTTTCAACTTTAAAATTTCATTTTTTTCACCCCAACCCTCGACCCTCACCCCCTACCAGTTCCCCCGGATAAAGAAATAAGTTTGTTTTAAAAAAATATTTTCGACTTCAAATTTTAATTTTTTTTACCCCTGCCCTCGACCTCCCCACCCCACCTCCCAAAATAAATATTCAGTTTGTTTTTAAAAATATTTTCAACTTCAAATTTTTATTTTTTCACCCCGAGCCTTTATCCCCTCCCCCCCTAACCAACACCCACCCACCTAAAAAAAGTTAATTTTATTTTTTAAAAAAAATATTTTGAAGACATTTTCCTTCATACCAAACACACCCTAAATCTCTCTCAATTTCTTCGTAATCTCTTTCATTTGTTCTTAAGCATGTCGAAATCCACTTTCTCTTCAAAGAACTCATAGCTTCGGAAATCAAATCTTTCAATTATTTTGAATTTAATACTTCAACCTTGCCTGAGTTTCTCTCTCTTTATACTCAAGTATGCAAAGTAAGTGAAATTGGTGAGTCAACTACTCCACAATCAAAGTTTTACTCCCATACAACCCCTTGTTGAGAAGGTGTCAAAGTATAATATCTCAAGTCATTCGAGATTTCGAAGAAATCCTTAAAGGTGAACACCAGTTGTATTTTTAATTTGTAAACAAAGTACTCCTGCCTCGCATAAAAAAAAGGACTCTGATTTGTTCAGCAGACTTGTTTCTCATGGAGTTGTTAGACAAATATAAATCCATGAATTTTCCTAGGAATATACTGGAGTATATCCACTGGATTATGACAGCCAAAGATAGTCGTCATGTTATTGCCTATGGATATTTGTTAAACCTAGTCTTCAAACATTTCAATATGGCCCTTGACAAAGGAGTGGATGGAATAATAAAATAGGCACTCTCCATGTCTACCTTGAGTGAGGGTAAATTCATTGGGAAAAGGTGAACTCTAAGTCTCAAGTCTCCGAGCTTCCTCAACAACAAGAGTATTACTCTAAGTCTCAAGTCTCCGAGCTTCTTCAACAACAAGAAGTGCTAAATACGGAAATGAAAGATTTTATTACCCAACTACCTGAAAAAGAATAGGAGATTATGAGGCTTGAAGGACCAATCTCAGGGACCAGGTCCAATTACATGTGGGCAGGATAATGTTAAAACACTGAAAGCTCACATTATTACGTTGGTTGAATCAAATGCCAAATTAAATGATGAGGTAAAGTCTCTAACCCAAAAGCTTCTTCCCGCTCATAACGCCCACATTAACCTGATCCTGAAATTCCCCAACCCCCTCCTTCTTATAGTCCTTACCGATCCTTCTTTTTTGTATTTGACAGTGGCTCTTTGACGTTGTTATGTTTTTCGTTTCATTTACAGTTAGTATGGTGTATATTTTCCTTTTATTAATGATATCTTCCCTTGTTGTTTTTCTATGTTGATTCTTCTCTCTTAGTTACTCGTGTTATCTTACCTTTCGGCTACGGATTCATTGTTGTTTTGCTCGACATCTTGCTTATGTTCACTACTTCAAATTTTTTATGATGTTAAAAGAGGGGAGAAAGGTATTGGTGAAAGGGAAATCTAATTAACAGGTGAGTGGGGGAATATGATTGCTCAGAAATATTGATGGAAAATAAATAATAATGCATTTGTTTGTCATCATCAAAAAGGGAAAAATGATAGAATTCGATGTTTTGATGATACTCATAAACCTACAACCTGATTCCATAGGTGATCAGATATCTTAAGGTTACTTAAGTCAAATGGTGAACAACTGTAAAGGGCGATCCTCTCTGACGTGGTTGGTGGTCACAAGAAACGAGAACAGTATATTCAAAGGATAATATATCTTTATTTGACATGAAACAACCTAGTTAAGATATTAAAAAGCAAAAATATTAAAAGGTATATTTGGTCTTTGGAGAACTCAAGCTTTCAACAGCCTTAAGGGACCTGATAGAGTTATCGAGTGTATCTTCTAAGTGTTGTTACTGAACACTTGGATAGTAAAGTTATAAGATTCGTTTTTAATATATACAGGAACACATCAAGTTTGTTGCTAGGAAAAAATAATGAGCATAGTTAAAGTGAACTGTGCAGTGGGTGATTGAAATCTATATTAATAATATATTAATAAGAGTAAGTTAATATAGTGGGCAACAAAACTATTGATTTGGCTTTCTTTTTAATAGGGCTATTATAGGTGGTGAAATTAAGAGTTTACTATATGTGTTTGGAGTCTATATTCACTTGTTGCTTGAAAATAGTAAAAATAGAGGAAAATCTTATGTGACAGATCGGGATTTTTCCTCCCTTGAGCAAGGAGGTTTCAACATAAAATTCCTTGATATTTTTTATACTTTATATATATTTTATTATCTTTTATTGCATTTTAGTGTATTATCTACCCGGTCCCTTAGCATGTCGTTGTAGTATATCTCATGAGTTTGTATTATGTGTTAACAAGATGATATGTGTGTGTGTCAACACTTTGCCACTTCTATCTATATAAATAAAAATACAACAAAGTGTTCTTCTTCCTTTAATCTATTTCCCAACCATATCTTGATATCAAGCAATATGTATTCCCATTTTTTTATTAATCAAGAATGCTCCAAATTTAATTTCTTAATAAACTTTGATTCTAGTTTTGAGCTCAGACAAATATGTACTTAAAGTTCCTTTTTTTTTTTAAATTCAAATCGATGGACAACCAATTATTATAATTATTTTGTTTTTTGTGGTTAGATTTTTTCCCTTTGCCCTGTGTAATATATCTGTGAAACATTAGGTAGAAATTTGAACTTCATTAGAGAATCACACCGAATTTATTTATTTCTTTGAACACATTACATAGAGAAAATAAATCCAAATAATTAATATAAATATACTTATAAGTGAAAAAATTAATTTATAGCGCCACAAACAGTTCTTATGATCCCATTTTGACCAGTTAGAGGACTAATATCTCCCATTTTAATCATGGCTGCAGCAAAATCAGCGGCAAATACTCGAGGGCTATTGCTATATTCAGTAACAATGCTATCCGTTGACCCTCCACTAAGAAGGACTTGATCTGATTGAAGAAGACCTTTTCTTTGAATCAAGTTCTTGTAGTAATTGTTATCTAATTGATTGGGTGTAACCAAATCAAGTGGAGCTAGGTTTCCATTTTGATCTTCTTGAGGACATTGTCGTCTTCTAGTGCTAGCAAATCCAGCATCGATGTCTGTTCCATTGCTATAAATTCTATCACGGAAAAGGAAGCATTGTGCTTGTCCAATTGAATGTGATCCTAGAATTAATAAGATAATTGGATTTTTTTTATCTATACAATTATATGATCGATAAAATTCTTTGTTTGATAATTTACTAATTAGGATTTTACCTGATAAAGCAACCATATCCCTTGTGCTAAGGCCTTTGTTGGCAAAGCCAGAAATAAGCCTATCAAGAGGATCAAAAGGACCAGGGAGATCAGTTTCAGCAAGAGTATGACTTGCAGTGGCTGAATCTCTTCTTCCGAGTTTCACCGTCCATGATGGACCTCCAACCTGATTATTAATAGACATAATATTTATTAGTATATATATACCAACAATACCTTTTTCTAGCATTTTTTTTTTATAAAAAATGAAGTTCAAATTCGAAGCACCTACGAGAGTGGATGCATCTCTAGCAGCAACTGCAAGTATGTCTGCACAGGACACAATTCCTGGACATGTTTTCTCAAGTTCCCTTTTTGCATCTTCTATAATACCGTATCCTCTAGCTGATCCAAGATTTGGCAATGCAGTCTTCTCACTTACTATCGTTGGAGTCTCATCAAGTAAGATAGAAGCATCACAACCCTATACATAATTAAAGTTGAATCCAAAAATTACAATTAGTATATATACGTCGTCATCAAACCATAATTTGAATTTGAGTACTTAGAGAAGCATAGGGATTATTTATGAGCATCTAATAAAACCGACCTGAACAAAGCAATCATGAAAATGAAGACGAATGAGGGATGCAGCCATGCGACGTTCACTTGAAACTGCTTGTCTTATGCTTGTACGAATAGTGGTAAGAGCCGTAGGGCAAGTGCGGTCATAGAATGTGGAAGAAAGTTGTGCATGACATTGCATGCTAGAGAGCAAGAGAAGAGAAAATATAGCAACAAAAGAGTTTTTTGAAGTAGTCATCATTTGGAAAGTGTGTATAATGTATGATGCCAAGAAGTAATAATATATGTTAAAGGTGATAGAAGAAGAAATGTGCTACTCAAATATTTATAGGCAAATCGAAGTGGTTTTTTGGTCACTATTGGCTGCCAATTGCAAAATTAATATTCCGCGTTATTGCTAGCTTTTGTGTTTGACTTTTTCTTTGTCTACCTATATATTATTTGAAAGGGTCTTCTCATGAGTTACACTTCTATGCTATTCGTCTTGTTCAATTTATATTTTATTTGTCTAGTTTAACATGATATATAATTTAAGAAAAAAGTAAAAAGAACTTTTGAATCTTATAATAGTCTTAATTAAAGTTAAGATAAATAGAATGTAATAAAATGTCATTTAATTTTGTGGTTTCAAATATATCACCTGAAAATTTAAAATTTAAAATTGACAATAAAAAGGAAAAACATTCTTCTAAAAAATACAAAATGTAAAGAAAAAATAAAACAAACAAATTGAAACATAATAAGTAACATTATCTTCGAAGGATAAAAATCAATTTAATACTTCATATCATATATACTCGTATAATAATTATAGTTGAAAATTTGACTTCACACTATTTTGAGGTTTTTGGTTCTGACTAATTGACGAATTTATCGAGAAAAAAGAACAAAGTGACGATTCAAGTTGATGTATGAAGAATTTGAGATCGAAGAAGTCAAAAAGAGGATGCATACTCGAGTTTGAAATCTACTATTGAGAAATATTGCTCAAAAAAAGAAGGAAAAGTTTGATCCGTCATAACAAAATCTTCACTATCAAAAGATGGAGATCTACAATGTATCTCGCTTATTTTGATTCATAAATTAGTCTTTGTTAGTGTTATTAATGATCCGATACATGTTTTATTAAATGTATCATCTTCTAATCTTTCGTCCTAATCTACCCAAGGTAAATGAGTTTTGATCTATTTTTGTGTTCTTTTGATTGTTCAAGCTTCCATTTTGTTGTTGATTCAATTGCATGATACATTACGAAAAAATTAGTGTTATCATATTGCAATGTATCATCATTCAATTTATTTTTTGATACATAAAACCCTAAGATTGTTTATTCGGTAGTTACTACTAATGTAAGTCATGTTACATTAGAAGTAAACAACGGGTGTGTACTGTAATTTTTTATCTATGGATTATGATGTGGTTATTATTGTCTATCTGAATGTGAATTATATATAAAAAAAAAGTATCGTCTTAAAAGATTGTATATGATACAAAATTATGAATATAACAATTCATTCAACAATCTGAACTTTATACTTGATACATTCATAAGAACTATTCAAAAATTACAAAATAAAATTAGAATCAAGTTGTAACCATCAAATTTACGTCTATGATACGTAATTTAGACTACAAAGTATCTTAACTATTTGTTTGATAAATAGTTTTAAAAATGTATTTGATATCCATTTAAGGTACATAAGTTAAGTATGAATATGATACAATGTTCAACTGATTACATTCCAGCATATAATTTAGACTTTATACGAAATATTAACTATTTTAGCATATGATACATATTATGTTGGTGAATATGGTACCATTTAATATGTTTCAGATACATTTTTTAGTATAAAATATTATTTTGTAGTTGATAATAATGTATATGATATAATAAGGTTGTGAAAAATGGTTTAAATAAATTTAAATAAAGTGTATCTATAAATGTATCACAATAAATAAAAATTAAGTTATCAGTTGAATACATGAATGATTCAATAACTAATTGCAACTGGTTATTGTCCAATATATCAACATGAATGAATCAACAGCTAACTACAGCTAAGTTATAAAGTACATGAATAAATCAACAATCAAGTTATCAACTACATTGCATCGTTGGTGTCAAAATGTATTAGCAACTAACTATAATTACTGAGAACAATTAATTTTGTATCTGTATGCATGAATGAATTTGGTACTTAATATTATGACATTTTTGTATCAGATTATATAAGACAAATATATCAGACAATTCAAATTATAAATAACAACTATATATATTGAAAGTTAAAGTCAAAATAAATAAGTTTTTTTTAGAAAAACACTCTAAAACTTGTAGAAAAAAGTATTCCAAACCTATAAAAACAAACACTCTAAAATTAGATTTAGTGTATCTTAATAACCACAACACTCTAAAAAAGTGTCTAATAAGTGGTAGATAATCTATATTCAACATTAACCATAACTCTTGAGATGGTGTTGTAAAATGACTCTTAGGCTTTTGTGGATCCTCATTTTCACTAACATATTTTGTCTTGACCTTTTCTGTACAGAACTTTCATGATAGCGTTGCATGTCGTTTACGAAAGTAATATGATAAAAAAAATCATTGGATAGAATAAAGAATCTAAATTTGCTTTAAAATGCAGAAGATACATTATAAAAATAAAGAAGATACATTATAATTCAAAACAAAATCATACTAATTTTTACGGGTTGTATCACTTGTTTATGGTTATATGTAGATATAAGGCATAATACATAATTGTGCCCTTTAATTTGGTTTCAAATTATATTTATGCACTTCAACTTTGGATGTGCACACATAGACACTCAAACTTGTATAAAGTTACAGAAATAGACACACATGTCATCCAATGCGTCATTTTTTGTCCTACGTGGTGTCTTACATGTATTATGTCACGTAGGACTCATGTGTTTATTTATTTAAAAGTTGGATAATTAAAGTGTCTGTTGTGCATTATGAAAGTTGGAGGTCAAAGTTAAAATTTGAATCCAAGTTTAGGGTTCAATACATGTATTATGCCTAGATATAATGTATCTTACGCATAGACTAGTACAAATTCTGATTGATACACCATTTAACATGATGCTAATGCATTGTATACACACTAAATAATATAAATTTTGCTTGATACCATTGAACATTATTTTTGTATTAATTACATCACAACTTGACTGATACACAACTAAACATATTTTAATATTTGATGACTTCATATAATTTCAACAACTACTCAAACAATGAACAAAATTAGAATTTATTGTATCGATTTATTAATCTTAAAAATAGATACATTACAATATGAAACATGAATATTATCATTGATCTATCATTTTTTGATTGACTAACATAAACAAGTTTAAAAATCAATAAAAGAAGATAAAAAATTAATCTTATGTAAAGAAGGTCGAGAAATTATAGGAGCCAATTTTCGATCCCTCCTTTTGAAATTTTTATCAGCATGCACTTAAGAAGTTGAAGAACAATATCGATTCGCTATTGCTAATGGCTATGAAAATACTCGCGCTTAGAATATGAAAAACAACAACGATTCACTATTGCTAATGGGTGATGAAAATGTTTTATCTGTTCAGCCCATTTAGGATCAACAGGAAATTGATGATTTTTTTTTATAAAAAAAATCAAAGAATAATAGAATGGAAAAGATGAAAACTACATACTCAGTGATTTGATATTGATTGACTAGAGAGAGAAAGAAATAATTTGAAAAATTCAAATTAAGATGAAAGATGTAATTGATTCAATTATGGGAGTGAAATAAGGAGAGGTTGAAGGAGTTAAATTAGGAGAGGAGAAACGCGGGTTACAGGTTGAAGTACTGTATCTGGGTGATTTGGAGTATTGGGAAAAAGAAGGGATATTTATAATATTTTGAAATGGTAGGGAATAATAAAAAATATGGTAAATAAAGATGTATATATAGGTAGTTTTCCTTCTTTTTTTTTAACAGAAAATCAATGGACATTCATTTATTAATAATTTTATATTTTTCAATTAAAAATGATGGGCAAGGTCAACTTTTGAAGTGCAAAATTACAGTTGAAATTGAAAGTATTAAAATGGATTGAAATAGAAATCGTGTTGGGTCTTGACCCGCACAAGTTTATTTTGGGCACAAATAGGTTGGGTTCAAATGGGCTAAAATGGGTTGAATATTGACCCGATTGATCTCATTGATTTTAACATAGTGATATTTAATTTTATAATCTCAATTTGAATTTCAGCTCATGATTTTATTTTTAAAAAGTAATAAATTGATAGATAAATCCTAAAAGATGTTAAATAGATACCTTCTAATGGACACCTTCTGTTGTCCCTCTGTTTTAACCAATTCTCTCTGCCAGTTTCACGAAAGTGATGAAGCTAAAATCGACAATGCACAACATATAGATTTGATTAGGGGTGTACAAAATCGAACCAAAAATCGAACCAAACTGCAAACTGAGTCAAACTAGAAAAACAACCCGACTAGTGGTTTGGTTTGACTTGGTTTGGTGTTGGATAAAAAAACCCGACTATATTTGGATTGATTTGGTTTCAACTAAAAAAATAATTTGAGACCAAACCAACCCGACATTATATATATAATTTTAAAATTTTATTTTATAAGTAAAATACTTACTTTGAATTAATTTTTAAATATCTCTTATACTTTTTTATAGTTTTAATCATATAATATATTTATTTCATGTTTGGAAGTTAGAATTCTTAATGATCTAATAAAGATTATAATTCATACATGTTGGTAATTATAATAAAGTTTAAATAAAAATCAAATTAATGCTAATGCAAAAAGAAAATCAATTCAACACTAAGAATGACAATAATATTGAATATTTATTTTTTAGTTTTACATAGATTTAGATAATTAAAATACATGATCTAATTTTACTTTTTTTTAATATTTAGTCATGTAACTTATACTTACTAAACTTATTTAGCATGATTTAGTACTTTAAATCATGATCAGTTTTATTATGACTTATTAATTTGCAATATTTGTTTCAAGTGATTCTATTATTATTTTTTGTTGGATATTTTAGTGTCATTAATCATATAATATTTTTTGTTATTTTCTTGAGAAATAACTTAGATAGTTGCATTTTGGTAGGACTAAAGAAATATTTAAAGTACAAGTAAATTATATGTTTGTATGAATACTTTATCAAAAATACTCGAAAAATTGGAAAAACCCGAAGAAACCCAAAAAAATCCGAAGTTGAAACCCGAGTTTTATTGGT